TGATCGGTCACGCCCGTCGTTTCTTAAGCTCTCATTGACAAGAGGCCCTAAATTATTGTTAGTGCTGTTTTTGTTGCGGTATCTATAATGAGTCTTTGATGACGAGTTGTTACAAGAAATTGGTTCGAATTGGTTACATAACTACAACCAATGAGAATGAAATGATTCGCAGCCATGTGCCTCGCAAATGGTATGTTCGGAGCGTCTTGCGACGAACAGGGGATCAAATTTTTCAAATTGCTTGATTGGAGGTTTACACAACGGGAAGTTAATCCGTCTTAAAATGGCGTTCTGTGTCTCTTTGAAGGTGGTCAATTTAACCAGTTCCTTCGGCTCTTTCTTTTTTGCCGGGTTTAGGCGGTAACATTTGGTTCTCGTTGCCATACCATATATAGACGCTTTCAGGCAGCTGTGCATGGGCGCCGCCATAACCGACCTTCAGTTTTTGTTCCCTCTTATTCCGTTCGCTCCACTTCATGATTGCCACAGCAGGGCAGGTCATTGCCATTTTAGATTCAACTGTGTCTTTCTTTCCAACATAGGCCCTTGTGGAGACTGGTCAACGCCCGCTTCAGTGGCTTGGCATCTCGGAAAGACAAAAGAAGGTCGGCTATGGCGGCTCAATTTGGCGCGCGCTGAAAGCGTCTATACATAGCGGTGTAAAATGCAAAAAAAAATGCAAACGACCACATGAAGAGTGTTGTGATTGACAGCGGTAGCTGCCGCGTTGTGGAATGGCATGTTGAAGAGATCGACCTCTACAATATTTACATTGGGTTATTTTCTTTCCGTGGAATTGATGTAGGATACGTGTGTGAGGAGATGTGTGCCTTGGTGGAACGATTGTGTGAGATGTTGCATGTGTAAGAGAAGAACACCAGGGGTCCTTTTTTTTTGGCTAAAACGCTCTTTCAGAACGGGGGCACTTGTTAGCACGCCTGCAGTGGAAGAAGCGAAAGTGCGTACGCGAGCTGCTCTATAGGGGCGTGGAGAGTGCACGAAAACGGAACCTGGGTGGCGGTAGTGGAGAGGCGAGGGAGCGCGTCCGCACAGTGCGACCACGTGGGTATTTCGCAACGGCGGCTGCCTGAGGGGTTGGTGGGGGAGAGGAAGGGAGAGCGTCGCTGGAGCAAGAACAGCGGCGGCATGCAGAGGGAAAGGGAAGAGGAGAGCGAGAAAGAGCCTTGAAGTGTGTGGGGAATGACTGGGAAAGGTGAGAGCGGTGCCTCTGCTGCAGAGTGGGGTTTTGCGTTCGTACATGAGCAAATTTTGCCCGAAAAAAGCACTAAAATATACAGCTGTAACAAAAACGATGTCCTGATTATTGTAATAAACCCGGATAGCATACACTCTAATCAAAAAAGGAAGAATGAGGTAGCAAAGGCGCCTCTTCCTCCCGTCTACTGACGTGCCCCCAAGCGGACACAAGAAGAAGGGAGGAAAGAGACATTTTGTTCCTTCTCCAGGCAGACGGGTGGAAGTTTCCGCCCTCCCACCTCGTCTTTCGGTTTCGCTTTTCGAGCAGGTCGCGCGCATTGTTTAATAAATGTTGTTGAGTTGACTGAGCTTCAGCTCAGTCAGCATTTTGTTGTTGAGTTGATGCCGAGCCGAATACCAACCGGTAATCGACGTCGTTCCGCATTTCTGCGTGTCACCCACATAGCAGCATCATCGTGATGGCAGTGTTGTGCGTTGTGAACAGAAGACTGGAATTATCGCCGATGTGACCGTGAATTCGCGTGTCAGGGGTGTATCACGGAGAGGTAAAATGTTGGGCACTGATGCTGCTGGTCGTGCCGTGATCGGAAGGAGTGGGGAGTTGCAGGGTGACATGCCGCTTTACATTAAAGAGTTTGAGACCACTTGAGGGATTAGGTGCCATCTATCGACTTGCGGATGGATAGTCATGCTGGAATTCTGGTCTGAACCGTAGCTCCTATCGGACAGTGGCCTATACATGACTGTCTTTCTGCGATGTCCTGTTGTCTCCTCCCCGAGAGCGATTGCGCTCTGGGGAAAGGACAGAACAGTATGGAAATAGGACGGAAAGTACGTATTTACAGAGTGGAATTTTAGCATTAAGAAAACATAGTAAATAAAATCTTTAAAAAAAAAGCTATTTTTTTTTAGAAATTGCGCTTCAAGAGGCGCTCTGGAATGAGCTCTGGACGTTTTCAAGCTCGCCACGGCGTAGCTGGATCCGTACACTTAACACCTGTCGCAAGTCGCGGCTTTGACTGAATTCAAGTTGATCGAAAAGAGATTTTTCTGCCCGTGAAGCTTCGCTTCCACGTGAGTGAAGACTCCCTCTACAGCGATTAATTCAAGACGACAATTGCAGCCACACGGGAACAGCACAAATTTGAACAAATGCTACAACAGAAATGCTGGCTACGACGTGCCGTGCGGGAAAGCAAACACGTGGCTTGGAAGCGCAGTGGAGCGGCTTGATTTATTGGCTTTCAAATAATTACGGTAAGCGTTTACTTTTTACTAAGAGACTAAACCCCTGAGCCGTTCGAAATACTCTCAGAGCCATTACACTACTGAAAAAAAAAAATATCTACATGCTGGGAATATTATTTATTGCTTGGGTGATCAAATATAAAATTCGTACTTCTAAAACGGCCAGTATAAAAGGCGGAAACGCCGAGCTCAGAAGTAGTTATCGGGTTAGTGTGCTGTGGTATTGACGTTGGTTGGTCGTGTATGTGTATGCACTCAATGTATATGTTCAGCTGAGACTAGGGAAATGCGTGATGTATGCACATGTGTGTATAATAAAGGTGCCCGAAGTGTAATGGTGGCGCCAGCAAATAATGATAATATTACCCAAGCATCAAGGAGAATGCAGGGAATAGTGTTCCACGCACCGAACGTGCCAGCGCCTTCTGCAGTAACTGTTCTAAAGCAAAAGCCTAAAACAAACGGCATCTTGCACGAGCGTTCGTCAACCCTTTATTTTGGTTACTTACTTCGAATGTCTTATACAGCGAAAGTGTGCGCGTGCGGCGCGTGGGGCGGCGCGAGCGTAGAGTTTTTGGACACGCACACGAAAAATCCACGAAACCCTAGCCGCAAACAGCCTCTCTGTAAAAAGAAATGAAACGTTATTGCGTTACAACTTGCAAACGATGATAAAAGAAGAGTGCAGAATGACGAAAATAATCCCTGGAGAAGGGGAACAAGAGGGACAAAGGACAAACACCGGGTGCATTGAGAGATGACATCTGTGCTTTGAAGGCAGAACTTGAACTTATCGAAAGAGAACGTCATCGCGGAGCGTTGGGGAGAGCGGGGCTGGCAGGCTGATAGCTGGGGGGACGCCCACTAAGGGTACCCCTACCTTGAAAAAAGGAACGCGCACCGCATTGAGATAGCAGAAATAAAATATGGTGAGGCAGTTACCAGGGAAGAAGCAGAGATGGAACGCGCCTTTTACGACTATCACAGCACGTTTTGTTTGCTCTTACCTCCATTCAAACACAGCGTTTTAACAAAACAATTTTAATCTTGCACTCAGAAAAAGAAAAAAAAGTTCGTGCGTCTACATTGTCGCACAACACTCGGAGAGCCAATTACCGCAACTTACGGAGGCAGCTCAGCGAATGACGATGCCGAAACATATCTATAGACCAAAATACGCAGTGACATTTTACATTGCTTAATGTCACAGTTGATGAGATGAGATGAGTGCAGTGCAACCGCTAACCTGGGGTCTTTAACCATGTACCACGCAGTCGTGATTACACGAACACTTGCCGGTACAAAAATGATCTGGATGAGTTTCGTACCGGCACGCGTTCGTGTAATCGCTACTGCGTGATGAACGTTAAAGACCTCAGCCGAGCGGTTGTACTGCGCTGGCTAAATTTCTATCTTCAGCTACGAGACAAATGAACCGTTGGGGCGCACTTGCATTAAGGCTGTCTAAACATACAAGCAACGCAATTTTTTCCCGCCAAAGTTTAGCGGGTACATTCCATACTGCAACGCGCGCAGCCACGTGTGATTTCTCGTGTGACACACGCAGCTGCGTGGGTTGCATTATTGGACTTTTTAGTCCCGCCGACGCCGACGCGGACGCTGGATTTTTTGTGACACGATCGAGCTCCTAGACGCTGTCGCGTTAATACGGCGAAAAAAAGTGTCGAAGTGAAGGATGGGAACGCTCGCAGACGACCGAGCTAGCGGCTCTATTTACTTGTGGCGCCATATCTCCCAATACATTCGGAGATATGGCGCCCTCTCCCAACAGAGTGCGTCGTCTGCTCGCTGCGCCTATAGGCGCAGCGAGCGGAAGACGCACTCTGTTGTCTGCTCGCTGCATTGTTGTTTTTCTAAAACAGGAACGAAAACTCGTTCCTCGTTCCTTCCCAATCTTGCAACGATTTTCTGTTACGAGTTCCGGTATGTTGAAAGGAACACATTCACGTTACAATTATAAGATTGGAACGTGTCGTTACATTAACGCTACTTTTTGCGTATTTTATTGATATATTATGCCGGATAATCCGTCGATAAAAAAAAAAAGCGAACGAGTGAAAATTTTTACATTGAACTACGTGTCGTGTCACCACGATAACATTTGTACTAGTTATTTGTTTTCTATTACCTCTCGTACACTTCCCCATCCCTTAAAGTCGGACGTAGAAATAGTCAATGTTAAATTGACTAAATGCGTATTAAATTCGGCTAAGATTTCAAACACCTGTGCAAAAAAAAAAAAAAACGCCATTTTTAGGAAAACGTATTTTTACGTTCCAGTTCCACCGACGCAAGACGGAACGGCGGCACTCGTTTGTTCCCCCCAAAAAGAACGTGTTCCACGAACGTCGTTCTGTGGAACGCCGGTCTGAACAACACTGTGTCGTTCCGCTATCTTTAAACAAGGAACGTCGAATTTTCCCTTTTGTTTTTTGCTTTACAGTACTAACAACGTATGCACGCCAACCCCACTTTCAACAATGCCCTTGTTGGCGATGAAAGACGACGACACAAGTGTCACTTCGTCAGAGAAACGCCACGTTTCCACCCGTGGAACTTTGCGCAGGTGTCAGGAAGATTTCAGCAGTATGCAGATGTGAGACGACGAGTGCGCGGGGTCGACTTTGACCTCCGCGAGTGCTGCTTCGATCCTGCAATGATGCGAAACGCAGGCTGCTCTTTATCTTTCCGGAGAAAGAAAAAGTATCTACTATAATTCCCGAACACATGCACGGATAACAAGACCACGAGACAACGGCTTTCCGCCGCAATCGACAGCCATTCTCCAAACTGCTTCAGATACTTGTTGACGGATCAGGTTCGGACATTTGAAGAGAGCCATGACAATACTGGACGGCTTAGCCGCACTCTGCCTTGCAGTGCTCATCTGCTTTGCGAAGTCCCAGGAGGCCGGACGACTTTTCCCAGAGGACCTGCAATGGACTAACGAGATTGGCGACAACCATCTCGACGCCGGACGCAAGGTGAATGTCACCCTTTTCTACGAGTCCATGTGTCCGTACAGCAGGGAGTTCATCACGGACCAGCTGTATCCTACGTACGAGCTACTACGAGGCTACATGGTTGTGGTGCTCGTTCCTTTCGGTAACGGTCACATCGACAACAAGACGTTAAGAAACGGCAAGACGTACGTCTCCATTACCTGTCAGCATGGCGTCAACGAGTGCAAGGGCAACAAGATCGAGGCCTGCGCCATAAAGAAGTACAAGATGACTAGTCTGTGGTTGCCTTTCGTGGCCTGCATATCCAGGTTCCCGGATCCGCACAAACAAGGCAAGATGTGTGCGGACTCGTTCCATTTGGAGTGGTCCGCTGTGGGCCAGTGTGCTGATGGCAAGGAAGGACAGGATCTCTTGTACCAGATGGGCAGACTGACCGAGGATCACCGCCCTCCGATCAACTACGTTCCGTACATTGACTTTGATGGCGTCCACGACCAAAAGGCTGAGGACGAAGCTCGAGGTAACCTTCTCGGCGTCGTTTGCAAGAAGCTCGGGGACGTGAAGCCAAAAGTTTGTTCCGGTCATTAGGCCGAAGTTGTTCTGTGTTTTTACTCGTATCCGTTATTATAATAATTTCGATTTCTTTATACAAAAGTAAAACACGCAGTATTTGGACATAGCTCGTACTCTGTTTCGATACTCAATTTAAGAATTAGTGGAGGAACGTGTAGAGTGCGACAAAGGGAGCACAATCAAGGCGATCGCCTCTTTTTGTTTAACTCTTTTTTCTTTAAGTGTTGTCATCGAAGCAACAAAAGGCGCGAGAACATAATTATTGAGTTCGCTCTTACTGTACAGCGCAGAGTTGGAGAATGAATGCGTTCTAAAAAATAATATGCGGACTTCGGATCTAGCCTTTTGTATTTATTATCGGATCCATCTCTATAATCTTTCTTTTTATTTGCATGATTTCGCATACATTCTTGGACGTTGTGTACGGCGTTTTTAACGGCGTGTTCACTACACATGCACGACAAAACTTCCGACAGGTCGTGGGAAACTTTGAGAAGATGGTGGAATCCGACCAGCAGTGGGCCAATCCCTGCGTCCCGTCTATTCGCGTGACGCAGTAATTGGCCGTCGCCTGTTCGGATTAGGCCATCTTTCCGAAGCCCCGGACGACCCCTCGTTCCGTCACGCATTTGTCTCGGGCTCTATTTTTGGACGGTTTGAACAAACGATGTTCTGCTGGTGTTTGTTGAATAAAATCCTGCATCTTGCCTACCTTGTGCAGTGATGCGCAGTGTGGTTTTTCCCAGTGTAACATATTCCCAAATGATTTCAGCAATTGCGTTGTGTTTTTTTATACATATGGAAGTTAGTTAGCACTAATGGGCGACTTGTCTCAGCTTTAGACGAGAAATGTAGCTAGTGCAGTATTACCGCTACCCGAGGGTCTTTAACGTGCACCACGCAGTAGTGAAACACGACCGCACGCCGGTACAATGCTCATCCAGATCGAAACGGGCAAGGGTGGGGGATGAACCCAGGATTACCGGGTTCTGTCGCACGAGCTTTGGCCCCACGTGCTCCGAGCTGTTGTGCGCTGGCCGACTCAGCCACCGAACCCCTTGAAATGAAATGATTGCAAGTGGTTTGCTGGACCCGCCTTTAGTTGTAGACGATGCTGCGATTTGCTCACCGTGGCATGGCCTGAAAGAATTTCTGCGCACGTGCAAGGAATAGTTTTAACCAGTTTAAATTTATATGATTGTGTCCCAAGGGGAAACCAAAATAAAATATATGAAATTAATAAAATTGATCTCAGAGAGACGTTTCCATAGGAGGCAGATACAGTATTGTTTTTGTTTTATAAAAAAATATTAACAACGGAAATTGTGAGTTCGACGTTCCTCTACAGGGTCACATTTTTTATAGTGGTGTAAAATATATATATGTTGAAGCCATGTTCTTGGGAGCACCATTGATTGATATACGAACGCCGTAGATAATGTTTGTTTCCGGAGACACAAAATTTTGAAGCTCGTGGCGTGGAGATTGTCAAGTTTTTGCTCAGGTACTTTGCACAGTCGTCAATTTCACACCGAAGGATGCACGTAGCAATATTTTTTCTATTTATTTTATAGAAGGTTCACAAAAATGTTCACGTAGTCTAAAAATTTAAATAAAAGATTTTCATGGCAACATATTAACGGAATGCGTCAAATAAACAGGTTTCAGAGACACATTCACAAATTATTTACGAACGACACACTTTATATAAAACAATGCAAAATAGATCAAAATGATTATCTTTAAATGCATTTTAGGAATGTATAATAAAAATATAATTTGCCGTAATTACCGTTTTGCTATTGTAAAACCCTTTATTTTCGCGGCCCCTATTTTTCGCGAATCGGTCACAGAGGACATAATCGCGGCCACTAAATTTCGCGATTTATAGACGCCTCCATTGAAACCCTTAGAGAACAAAATTTTCGCGTGCCCCTTAAATTTCGCGAATTTTTCACTCCGCGAAAGTCGCGAACGTTAACTGCTCGCGAACATTAAGGGTTTTACAGTATTAATGTAGAAACGCTGCTCATTTCTTTAAATGTAATAAAATTTCACGTAAATATTTAAAAATAAACTTTACTTTTTTTAACTTTTTTTAGTTGTTTGTAGTGGCTTTAACTAACTTGCGATGGTGATTATTGAGTAAGGCACGACCTATTTAAAGGCCGACGACCAGACTCGAGATTCTGCAAAGCAGAAGATCCTCTTCACTATGGGGGAGGAGAAAACAGGCAACGGTGGACAGGGTAGAAGAGGGGAGAAGTGGAAGCGAGGGAAAAGTGGACAGCGCGCACTGGTCTTCAATCTTTAAAAAAACGATAAAAGACCTTCACTCAAATGGAGAGCCTGTCTTCGGTATAGGGACTTTTCCGCACGACGTGGGCTCCAAAAAGACATTTTCTAGCACCGACCAGGGCTGTACAGCGGTGCTGCTCTATCGTAGGGTGTAAAACGTTGTGGTGTGCCTAGTTTAGCTTTAAATTTGTGTTCACTTGCACGACCTACTACACCTCCCCCCCCCCCCCCCCCTCCCACCCTCCCTTTTTATTTTCTTGTTCAAAACACGTTTAAATTGAGAAGCTTCTTTTTTTTTTTCTGGCGCCGTAAAGGTTGCGCATGCCTTATATGTCTATAATATGGGTGGATTTAATATTCTTCAATAATTCCCGGCTTGCTTCGAATTCAAATGATGCCTTTAAATTTATTAATGAAAAAGTTAAGTGCTAAAGGTAATTATTTACGTATTTATATCAAACACCTTTTTTCAATTTTTTTCCCTAAATTTGTCGTTTTGGCAGGAGCCAATATTACATCAATCCTTTTTCTGCGCGATGCATACTTTTCATGTGAAACGTAAGTTCGTCTGCTTCTTTTGCAGGTGTTGTGATGACGTCAGAACGCAGAGCTCTGATTGGTTCTGAATGAAAGATAGCGTGTAGACACCTCAAGGCAGCTAGCTTTGATGTCTACCCACTATCCTTCAATCAGAGCCAATTAGAGCTCGGCGTTTTGCTGACGTCACCGAAACTCTTGCACAAAAAGCAGATGACTTGCGCTCCGCATAGGAACAATTTGGGGCCGCGTTTCGTAAAACACCCTGAATGGTATAGCTGAGTGATTCTCCCCAGGACATGATTATCATATACTGTAAACGGCCTAATTTTCGCGAGGACCTAATCTTCGCAAATTTCGCGAATCGCTTCCAATTCGCGAAAAATAGGTCCCGCGAACAATTCCGGTCAAATTTAAGCACAATAGAATCTATATTGAGATTCCACCGCGTCACGAAAATTAGAACCCGCGAATTATTCCAAAACTTCAGCTTTGACCTAGTGACAAAATATTGAGCCCGCGAAAAATTGGTCGTTTACAGTGGTATATATTGTGACGAAAAACAAATGATGAGGCGGCGAATAACTGGAGAAACTAGTCGTTGAATGGGGCGAACTTGTGTCCAAAACAAAATAGGAGAACGGTACCATGAAAATACTAGTAATATTTGGTTAATGTCCAAGGGGATACACAATCGCGGTTCGAATTCCTATGGAAATTTGTTGTCGGCCCAAATAGGTCCATTTTATAGTCACCGTGTCTGCCAGAGGGAAAACGGCAGGGCGTGTCTTTTAACGTTAGCCTCCCGCACGTGCTCCACACATGTTGACAGAGGTACTTATATTGAATGCTCTATATAGGAGGCGCACTTCCATCACCGTGCGTGCTCTCGAAATAATCGAAAGTACGCAGATAAATGTACAAGATGTGATCAATTAAAAAAAAAAAAAAGTTTACAAAGCCACCGAAAGACAAAATCTTTGGCGGAACCTGGCTTTTATATCATACTTATTTCTATATTTTTATATTTATTTATGTGATTATTTTGTAATTTTTTTTACTGTGGAAATTTTCGCGCTTTATGCATCTCTCGCGCTATCCTTAAAGGAAAGCCTTTTTTTGTTCACAAATACACTCACGAAGTGTTAAGTCACACTGCCCATACATCATACAAAAGAGTACAAACACGAGTCATTGCTATATCCGCGGTTCGAATGCCGCGTGCAAGTTTCCTCCTTAAACTCCTTGCCATGCGCCATTCGAATCACGGATCTCACGGTGACTCGCTTTCGAATCTGTACGCAGACTGTCTTTTGTGTGATGTATAAGCAGTGTGACCCTAGGGTGCCTTCACGCGCGCTTTGCTTAGGGTGGTGGTATCTCGCCATTTTGTCACACACGTTTATTTTTATTTTTTTGTTGAGAAGCGCGTGAAAGAGCGTGTCCCTGCAAGCGCTTGTGACGCTGACTGTGCTATGGCGACATTTTGTTTTCGTCGATTTCTTTGCAATTTGCCCGTGAGCGCGTGCTGTCGGCATCTGGTACTACAAAGGGTGGCATCACCCTAAACAGGAGGACATTGAGGCACCCTATGTGACCCTGGCTTCAAGGCTCGCGCGTTCTTCCGGATCAGTGTCTTGCTGTTGTTTTTTTTGTTTGTTTTTTTGCTGTTGTGCTAGTGATGATGTATTGCTATCGTTGTTATCATGGGCGCATACTTTTTTTTTCGTTTCAAAATTTCTTTGTATTGTTTTGCGTTAAATCGCGTGCTGCTGGATCCTTTTGCCACGGCTCAGGATATTGGTACCCTGTCAGGCGGCTTTGTATCGCTTTTTGTACCTTTGGACCTTCCATGTCCGTTTTGTACCTTCTCGCCTTGGGAAAAAATAAAAGAAATGATTGACTACATTGATGCCTTTCACCGTGCTTTGGCTGCGCGCGCATGCTTGAGGTGCGTGAGGCGCCGAAACTTTGTCGAAGGTAGAAATATGTCTTGCTGAAGTCGGGACAACTGAAAATCCTCTTTGCCGTTTTCTGAACCACCCAGAATCTCGATTCGTTATCTGTTCTCTGTCTCTCCTTCTCCCCCCCCCCCCCCCCCTATACACACACACATTTTTTCTTTCTTCTTTTCCTTGTCTTTTCCATGAAAGCGCAGGTGCATGAGAGGTACAACAAGCGTGTAGCTTTCCCACGTACCCTTTAAACACACCTTTCTCCTCCATCGTGCGCAGCGCTATACTTCCACGCGATTCGTGCCTGGCAGGAGACTTTGTGTGCGCAAGTGCCGGGACAAAGGACAGTCGTAGTTTTTTTCGCGCTGTTAAGCACTGCTCGTCAACTTCCCATCCAAACGTCGCGGTGTGTTTGCCTTATACATTCTGTTTTTTTTTTTTTGGGTACAGTGAAAATTCATCCGAGCATAATGAGGACACACTGTCTTATTATTATTTTTAATGGCGCACGTGGACATGGTGGAAGCGCGTTCTTCGGTCACGTTTGCTTTCCGACTGGAATCTAGCGGAGAGCCAGCTAATTTCCTTCATTCCACTCCTGCTCTTTTTGATCCGGATGAGCATCGTCCCAAAAACTTTACCAGGGAAATACATCGCACTCCACGAAATTCCAGTGGCTTCGGTACTGACAGGCCTTGCGTAGTTGGAGCGGCTATAATAATAATCGTGTTGCGTGTATATTTATACAGCTCGGAGCTAGTCAGCTTCAGTGTGAGTCTGGTGTCTCAGCTGTAGATGAGAACTTTAGCCAGTGTAGCACCACTGCCAGCGTGAGGTTTTAATGTGCACCATGGATAGACGACGTGGTGCACGCCTGTACGAAACTCATCCAGATCAAAACCGGTAGAGGTGGGGGATTCGACGGGAGGAGCCTGCTAGAGCCGGGGTGGAG